CGTAAAATGGAGCTCAAACTCTTTATTTTAATCTATTACTATTACAAGTGTTCTCTCTATGAAATTACTTTATCTTGATGTCTTGTTACACGCTCCGTTAACCAGTAGCAATTTGCATCTGACTCGTGCTTCTTTTGTGTTCTCGTAAACTAAGCAATTATGCCTGAGTCCTCTAAGAAAAAGATAAGGTACTGTTTCACACACAATTGTTAGGTCTGTTGAAAAATAAAATATTCCACTGCAAAGTGCATCGACAACCGTTTAATTACTTTGTTATTGGTCTATCGAGCATTCGTTTGGTTCTTTTCTAGGAAAGATCTTACGCTGGGATAGTCCCTGTGCAAATAAATCCATTTCGATTTTCCATTGAAATAGTGTCTTATTTTCACAGGCCAGTAATTTCTATACAAGTACGATGGAAGATACGAATCATAAAGATGTCTGGCAATGCGGTACATTTCCGTGATCCCAAAGTCTTTTGGTAGGGTTTGGCATCGGGGGCGCTCCTTGCATATAATTTTGTACAACGAGGTAGGCTGCTTGAGACCAGACTGAATCAAAAGGAAATGGCCGTGACCTTTTTACAATTGGCGGGTAAGATTTGACTACAGGAAGCGATTTTACCGCTGATCTAGCTTCCCAGGCAATGTTTTCCTTGTAACTGGTCGTTTTAACTGTTTCGTCCGATTTCACGGGGCTGTTAATAGTCGGATATCGACGACAAGAGCCGGAAATGTCACTCAATACTTGCTTATCACTCGGCTTGTCTGGGCGATTGTCAGCGAAGATATAACCAAACGCTCTTTCCGTTTCTTGAAAATAAGCTGACATGAATCGTGAGCGATTTTTGTCAAACATTCGTTCCGCAATGATACCGATTTGTTTTGGATCGCTAAGACTTCGGAAAAGAGCCATGTACTGAGCATTCCGGCAGATATTCGGGTTAAGTTTTCCCTTTGGAAGCATTTTGTAGCAGTAGTATCACACTAACATTTCTATGCCAGCCTTGGCTAAACAGAAGGGAAACGAGAGGACTATCTGTTGCTTGGGCCATTGTTAAACTTTGGGTCAATTTCCCGAAGATCTTCTTTAAACTCTGGAAGGCCACGAAAATAACTGAATTTCCTTTCCGATAGATGATTGCATCACTTTGTAGGTATCCTGCCACTGACTATAGTACCACCATATTCGCCTCGGTTTCTTGCTCTCGTAAAGAATACGATCCGTTGTGAGAATTTTTTTCAACGAAAAATGTTTTAACACACTGAGTGGGGCCCACCACAAGAAGTGAAAATTTATGTCGAAACATGAATTCTGAATATGCCTTGGTTTCCAGGGAAACATCTTTAGTTAATTTGGGCCTCTTGACTATACAATGCTGAGGTTTTTCCGTTTCTTTGACAGCTGCAATAGTTCGTTTTCGTTTTCTACTTCTTTCCTTTTCCGTCTGCAATACTTGGGGAAAACGTCGGGACACTCCTTGTGTTATACCCAGACTTTTGTTAGATCCCGAAAATACTGTTGCTTTTAGCCATTGCTTTCTTTCGTGGCTCTTTAATAGATGCACTTGACGCAGGTGATCACTCAAGGAGAGTAACTCTGGCTTGCCACGTACCGGGCAATCTCTATTGAATTTATAGGGCATCTTTACCACACGAGAACCACAAACATACTGAAGGAAATACGTCATTTTCCTCTTTATATTGTTTTACTAATCAAGTTTGATGTCATCACTAATCCTAATGCAATTCTTGTCCATCGTGGTGTAATATTAGGTCGATGTAGGGTCGATGAGAGGTCGATGTGGGGTCGATGTAGGATCAACGTAAAATCGATTAACATTTGCGAAGGAGAACGCTTAGTAACCCCGCCTTCACCAATTTTCTATAAAAGAGACGCCTTCCTTTCTGAAGTCTAGTTTCCTACCAGAACGCGTGCGGTTCAAACCAAAAAATGTGGAACAGTAACCATCATTACACCCTTCTTCAACAAGGTGCTGGAAATTTGGAAGTAGAAAGTGAAGAAAGCCATTTCTCCAAAGAAAGCGAAGTCCCTAGCCAAGAAACGAGGTCTTTCCAAGAAGAAACAGAAAACTTACAGCCTTGGTCACGCATTTTTGATGAAGTCGAGAAACGCCATGAGACCCAGCTCAACGCATTGATCAATGAGTACGAAGGGGACGGAGATTCAGAGAATGTGGCCCGCGTGAAAGCCCTCTTGTTCAGAAAAGAGAAAAGAAAAGAGCTGAGAAAAGTACTCTTAGAAAATCTACAGGACTAGACCTACTATGAATGTTATAGAATTTTTTATTTCCTGGTTCTTTGTATTGTTGAATTTCAATAAAAACTGTAAAAAAATAAACTTTAAGTGTGTTTTATTGAGGACTTCACAATCCTTACAACATTTTGTCTATTTAGATTATTACATGAAACTTATAATTCAAAACAAACTTATTTCATTGATTTAGAGCAAACAAGAAGACCTAGGGTTCCTTATATTGTTAAGCATAGCAATACATTTTGATCTGCGTGCATCTTGTGCAAAAGCTCTAGAATAAGAAGGTAACTGTTTAACGTTTTCAATCTCTTCACGTTCTTCGGGGGTGATGACATAAAGTTGAAAAGGTACGTGTTTGCCTTCAATGTGTCTTTCATACAAAACCTTCAACACCCGGTAACTTTCGGTTGATGCCCGTCCTTCTGACACTTCGTATTTTTACTATATTTTCTCTACAATTTTAACTGATTAGTTCGCGATTTGGTCAACAAGAGATTTTTAAAGAAATTTTCAAAGTTGCTTACTCAAAATCGCTTAATCAACCGTCAAAATTTAGCACTTTTTCACGAGCTAAAAAAAGCGGATTGGTACATGGCTTTGAACACCAAGGCTTGTTAAGTCTTAAAGAGCATTCTTTTTTCTTCCAATCAGCGAAATAACTGTAACAATTTCCACGTAATTTCACTTGCCGACACGGCAATGAACGAAAACAACTGTCGAACTGCCACAGGCAAACCGGCTTTCAGTGGAGTCATGCAAAGCATGTCTCGTCACGTAATTCTGCACCGCGCATTTGGGAAGGAGGGAAGAAATTCTTTTATACTGTGCGCTAAAACATTTATGAAATAAAACAAGCTTTAGAATGTATCTTTTGCAACTAGTTAAAGAAAAGAATAACTTTTCCCCCTGTTTTTGCTCGAGGGACGCTGTGCACTTCTTTTATTTTATCTTATTTTTTTGTAATTTAATCACTGTTTATTTCAGTTTCTTGCCGTACAATAATAACATTAATTTTTACGTACATTACCGACATTACAAATGATACACAAATAACTCACACACGCACGAACAGCACACACGACACACAACGACAGTATCAATACTACTAAACCTTAACAAGTATTTGTTTCATGTATTCATCATTTCAGTAACTAAGTTTTATTGAACTGGAGAAATGACTGTCGTTTAACTGATAATCGATCGTGGCCAGATTAAGGATAGTTTTTTTTTTTTTTGCACTTATCTTGAAATATTAGCGAGATGATTTTTGATTTTTTTGTGTCCAAGAATTCTCTCACATCTTCTGGCTTCGTATCCTGGCGCCTGCGAGAAAATCAGTCGGCCTACAAACCACAAAATCCCTCTCACATAACCAAACTGACGGATTTTGTGTTAATTTTATGGAAACGGTGACAGTATATCTTTATCTTCATTCTGTAAATGACCTTGTAACCTGATAGTAGATGTCTTATCTTGTATTTATTTTGAGATCGGAAACGGTTTGAAGTTACCGGCATGATAAAAGACTCACTGATTGGCTCATATGCTAGATATCTCAACCTTTTAAAATATCACGTGTCTTTGTCCCCATCTGATTGGTTTAGATGCGGGATGATCTCACACACTTAATAGCATCTACAATAGATCGTTCTGATTGGATTTATCAGTGAAATATCCCGTGGAAAAAGGCCTTACTCTCCAGTTCCATTTTCCTGTTGCATTTTAATGAGGGGCAAAAATGTTAAGGTGTCATCGACATCCTACGGGAATCTTTGCTGAACCTTAAGAAACCGGTCCTGTTTTAAATCAGGTGGTATGATTAATTTGTGACATGTTGCGTGACATGTCATTACGTCACTCATTCCCCTTTTGTGTAGCATTGTTGTAAAAACCATTTGCTAGTGAATGAAGTTGTGGTTCGTAGTTCTGTTTCTTTTTTTCGGCTGTCTATTTAATTTAAGACGACGGCATATTGATACACGGTGGCAGCGGGTGTAGGATGATTAGTATTATCTGTTTCATCGATGAGTGACGACGAAAGCTCACCTGGATCCGCTGTGGCGGCCTCGAATCCGCCCTCTGCTTCGACAACTGCGATGAATCGTCCGCGACCTCCACAGATAAAACCACCTCCTCCACTCAACTTGGCGGACTGTTCGGAGAAAACGTGGAAACTGTGGAAACAAACCTGGCTCAACTACGCTGTTGTGTGGAAAATTTTTCCGTCAAGGCGCTCAACACCAGAAAGCTATTTTTCTCTGCACTATAGGTCAAGGTGCTTTAGAGATTTAAAACGCGTTTCGATACAGCGCGAGTGAGGATTCCGATAGGGTGGAAACCTTAATCTCCAAATTCGAAGAATTCTTCACGGGAGAGGTAAAAGAAACATTTGAACGCTTTGAAGTTTAACTAGAAGAACCAAGAAGTTGGTGAAAGCTTCGACACTTATCTCATCGCTTTGAGAAACATGGCGGAATCTTGTAAACCAATGATCTTTCCAAGAAGAACCGTAAACAGGGTGAATGAACTGAAGCCTCATTTGAAGAAAAAAACACCGAACTACGAGAGGCACTTGGAACCTGTAAACGTCCCCTAGAGAACCCCAAGGCCTCCCACAAGTAGATGATAAAGTTTGTTGTTGTCGAGGAAGAGCTCACCCTCCTGCTGAGTCCCCAGGCATCTGAGAAGATGAAACTTATCACAGTCAAGTACGATAAGTTTGAATTGTAAAGCTCGGTGATGTCACAGAAAATGATCTCCAATTGCAATCAAACATCGAGAACGCCCACAGGATCGGGCCCTTCAAGGGTGATGGCACTCCTAGACCAATTTTGGTTAAGTTTTTGTATCGTCCGGAACGGTTTAGAGTTATTAAAAAGAAGAGGGATCTACGTGATGGTGTGCGCGTTTCAGATGATTTGATATGGGAAGACCGTCAAAAGAAGAAACAATTGGGATCTGTTATGAAAGAAGCATTTGAAGCTGGGAAAAGACCTAGATTTCATCATCGGGCAAGCTTTATATCGACGGTGAGCTACATCAGGCTTGAGATGTTTGAACAGTATACACTTTTGTTTACGTGTAAGTCCCATCTTAAATGTCTACATAGCTTTATAATTATCATTTATCTTAAATTGTTTACTTTGAAATTTCGTCAAGCTAAAACTTGATGCAAATGACCCAAGAGTCCTCTGACCCCGATTTAAATTTACAATTGCTAAATGATCATAGGATTTACATAGTTGAAGAAAGTAATTAGTTGTCTCGTACTGTCAAACCTCAATACTCTGTTATTCACTTAAGTACAAGAAGTTTAAAACAACATTTCGAACAAATGTGCAATCTTCTGGATTCGATTTCATGTAAGTTTGATTTTATCGGTTGCTCCGAGACATGGTTCACCTCTGAAATTGATTATACACGTTTTCAAATCCCAGGTTACACTTTACTCAATGAAAATCGCACCTTCTCGACAGGTGGCGGTGTTGCTTTGTATGTCAGATCAGTCTATTCTTTCTCAATTAGAAATGACCTCAAAATAGACTCAATTGAAAACCTATGGATAGAAACTAATGATATGATTGTGGGTGTCATTTATAAACCCCCAAATTTTTCAAACCCGGAATTTTTAGACAAACTCGAAAGAACTCTATACAATGTTTTTCTCTCTAAGAAAAAATGCATTTTAATGGGTAATACTAATATAAATACTCTTACAAAGACAAGTGTCTCTAAGGAATATGTTAATTTAATACAATCAGAAGGATTCAGTCAGCTGATCTTTGAAGCAACACGTATTACTGAAAATTCACAAAGCTGCATTGATCACATCTTTACAAATATTTCGACTTCCTGCTCAAGTGGCAGCCTCGCAGTTGAGATTGCGGATCATCTACCAGTCTTTACTATTTTGTATGACCCCAAATTTAGTCCTTTTCCTGATCATTTCGAATTCAGAGACTTTCGGAGTTTTGAAGATGAAAATTTCAAATTAGATCTACGAAGAGAGAGCTGGGATTCTATTTACAAATGCAATGAAGTAAATAAAAGTTATACCAGGCTCCTCCATATTTTCAATAAAGTAAGTAATATACATGCACCACTTCAAAAAGCAAAGACTAAACACAAAGCATATAAACTGTGGATTACTTCTGGTTTAAAGAAATCTATGAAAGTTAGATAAATTATACAAGAAATGGCTTGTTACTCGAAATTATGTTTTCCTAAACAAATATAAACTATATCGCAATAAAATTGGCATCATTAATAAGATATATCGTGACTGCTTTTATAATGACATATTAATCAAATCAGATAACACGAAAAAGATGTGGGATAACATCAATTTATTGATAAATAAGAAGCGGCCAAGTTCTCACATAGAAAAACTACAAGTGGATAATAAACGATATGAACAACCTTCAACTATCTCCAACTGCCTCAACGATTTTTTTTGTAATGTCCCTTCTACACTAGCAGCACAACTGCCTAAATCTGATAAGAGTCCAACCACTTATCTTTCTCAGAAACGAAAACAATTTCGCTTCGCACAAGTCTCTGAAATAGAGGTATTCTTATTACTAGAAAGTCTTGACACAAACAAATCGTTTGGGATTGACAAGATTCATCCGCTATTATTAAAAACTGCAGCACTTCAAATATACCGTACTTTAACATTTATTTTTAATCTTTCCATCAACAAAGGTATTTTTCCTGATAGTATGAAACTTGCTAAAGTTGTTCCAATTTTTAAACAAGGCTCTCGTTTTGCACGTAGTAATTATCGACCTATCTCAGTTCTCTCTTCCATAAGTAAAATATTTGAGAGATGTATTTTTAATCAGCTGATGTTCTATTTTACGAATATAATATAATTTCACCAAAACAATATGGATTTAGACTAGGTTTTACAACCTCTGATTGTCTGATTGACCTTATTGAAGAAATAACCTCCTCTCTTGATAAAGGACTTTATGTGGTTTCTTTATTCTTAGATTTAAGTAACGCATTCGATACAGTAAACCACCAAATATTACTAAATAAACTTAAGTACTACGGATTACAACAACGTGAATACAACTGGTTTCAATCCTACTTAAGTGTTATTGTCAGAAAAAACCGGGCAATAGCAAAAGATCGAGGTCGGCCGTTTACCTTCATGTTTTCACAGTATGAAAGCTATCTGAAAAGATGAACAACCGTGACATTTGGAGAAGTAGCCGTTTGATTTTCTTCGAGATATCACTATTTCGAGATTTTGGGACCTCCGGCGACCTAAAAAAGCACAAATTTTGGCCAAATTTGGGTGAAGTTAAAACATACTTGGTCAAACTCCCAAAAGGTCTTGTATTTTATCCATAACATATATCGCTTCGTTAGTCGACTGGAATATGTTAAACTTCCTTTGCTTAAATACTCTATTTTTTACCTGGTGCTAAAAATCGCTCCTGAATCGTTCATGAGCGTCATCCAAATTTCAGTCATTTTCAGTTGACTGTTTTACCGAGATGCGGCAGTTTATTTCAAAAGTAAAATCATTTCTAGATGGCTTATTGTGCTCTTATCAAAATCCAGTTTGTTTAAAATTGGTATCTAGTAGCAAATTGGAAAAAATGGCATGCGAAGGTACAATAATAAGCGTCAAGTATTAATATTTCCCGCCAAATTTTATAGCGCCACGTTTCGTTTTACTGTGATTGTGGCTCGTAGATATCTTAAAGTATACTTTCATGACTTCACTAAAAAGATAATTGAAAACTTTTATATCACTATTGACAAGGATAAACATTGTAAATCTCCGTTTTGATAACAATCTCCTGAATAAACAACTAAAAATGTCAAAAGCACGAAGCCCATTTTTCCCGCGAAAGTTTTAATTTATTTGTCACGCAATAGAGTAAAGCCAGACTTTATTCTCAGTTTTCAGACGGTTGCCAGAAAACAAACTTAAATCAAACAATGCCATCAACATGAAGACTTATCCTGATTAAGTTACTTCATATGGACACATTTTTCTCCAACTCTTGGACGCAGAGAAGACGTAGAGAAGAAAGCAACAGAACTTTTCTCTGCTCAATAACGGAATCTTACATAAAATCAAGCACGGCAGAAGGCATCTGCACATCTGAAGGCATTCACTGACCCTGATCTGTTTCGGTTTTTTCACGTCTTTTGTGGCTCGGGCTGTATCACGCAGATGATTTAAATACCTCAAGTTAAATAAACTGCGACAGGACGGGTGAAACTGGGCCTCTCGTGCAAACAAATCTTCCCCTTGTACTTTGCGATGAAGATGACTATTGCCAAGCTCGAGGGCTCGAGGCTCAATCTGTTTCCCAGTAGGCTCCTTTAGAGCTCCGTCTTTGTCCTTCAACACTGGGAACTTGATGCATTGCTCTGTTTTTCCACACGATTTCAGTTCAAGCTTCTCACAGAAAATGCATTTGGAGGAAACAGCTGCGGAGCAGATGAGGATGATGATTTACGAGGGGAACGTGTTGTTGTTGTGGCTTCACTATTAGGTGTCACACTGGACTTCAACTTGTCCTGGTTTTTAGTAAACCTTTGGTAACAGGTGATAGCAGATTGCTTCTAAATTTGCACCCTCGAGATTCTCTGGAATCTGCAAACAAACATCTTCCATGCGATGAATCGGTGAATCATGAGGTTCCATAACTCGCCTGTCACGAACTTCATGTAATTGGGAAAGCTTCTCAGTAGCAGATCCCTTGACATTACTGAGTGCTGTGAAATCGCCATGATGAATGCCACTCGCATGTAAAATACGGCGAAGAGCGGGCCGCTTGTGAAGAAAGTCTTGTCTGTTAGCGTTATTATCTTTGCGTTTCATCTCTTAAAATTCTAACAGTGATTTTTTTTTAACGATTTAGACTCTTAAAAGTGCAAAACATAGTTCAAATCTTTCTTAAAATAATATGAAAATATGACTTAACGCATTTTTAATTAGTATCAAAATGAAATCGCAGTTTAAGTACAAACTATCCAAATTTTCACATATATTTTTTTTCGGTTTTATATACAGGCATGTAGAATAAAAGTTAAAGTGAAAAGAAGAAGTAGCGATACGTAAAAATGCCCTGCATCTTTGATAACCATTTCAAATGAGGTTGTAAATTAAACAGTGGCCCAGTTAATAGTTCATGTGCTCAGCGTGCAAAGAAAGTACTGTCCGATAGCCCGGGGCTAGTGGATTTTGCTATCGGGCTAGTGAATTCTGTTTTTAACTTGCCCGCCGGGCAAGTGATGTTTTATGAGGAATTTGAATAACAGAAGAACAAAAAGTTTTTGGGGCTAGTTGAAATGACGTCTGGGCTAGTAAATGCTAGCTTCAGCTTGCCCAAATGGCAAGCTGTAAAAATGATTTTCTTTGCACCCTGTGTGCTGCTTGGCCTGTTTCACATTAGGATTGTAGTACTAGAAGCATAGTCTGATTTAAGAAGGCAATAGGGTGACTTATTTAATAGTATTTTCGCTTTGATCCAATTCTGGACTTTATAAGATTCTTTTTAATCTGTGGTTGCCCTTTTTTAAAATGGAAAAATTTATAGAGGTAATCATAAAAAAACTGAGTTGAATATAATGTTAAGTTTTATTCTTTATTCTGAGCGTAAATCATACTTAATTTGTTTTCACTGTTTACTTCAAATTTATTTAATTTGTCAAAAAAAGGACGTATATACTTTAAAGGTATTCGTTATAGTAAAAGTATACGTAAATAAAAGTTATTTGCCTCTTTTGATAAACTAATTGTCCGCAATTAAGTTTCATTAGAAAACCAAGATGGCTGCCAAGATGGCCGCCACAAAGGGCACTAAAAAAAGGCCTTGGGACAATATTTCGCGATGGGAACATAGAATTTCTTTTTCAAGACATCTTGAGGATTACAAAAATGTAAGTTAGAAAAATATATCCTAGGGGTGCATGGGTACCCTGCCTTCCGGCTAGACTATTTCTCTGTTGTAACTTTTTTGCGTTTACTTCACGGTAATTGATTTTATTACCATTTCTAAGGCCATATTTCAGTATATAACAAATAAACCTTTTGTTAATTTCTGTAAAACTGTAATACTAATTTATCCTGGGTTAATACTTTTTTATCTTGTTGAACAACTTGCTGTATATATTTTTTTTTTTCATATCCTTTTTTCTGTTATGCCTCATTTGTGAATATATAAATAACAAGAATCGCCGAAAGGCGATTTTTAACTGGGCTGCCAAGGGGCTATTTTTTCTGAAGGGAGGGGGCGGCTATACACACTCAGGCTACCACAAAACCTTGTCGGCAACCATTGCATGCGACAGCACCTCATGTGAGACTGAAACATAAACTCATTCAGAACATTGTACCCTTTTGAAAGACTTTCATAACAAAAAAAAAGAGTACCATTTTTAAGTGGGGGCTGTATAATAACTTTTTAAATTCCACCATTATGAGTAAAAATAAACAAGTTTGCCATTAATTGTAAGCAGGAAACAATTTGCATTATTTCCACGCACCCCTCCCCCAATCCCTCTGTGCTCCAAAATATATAGCGTGACAGTATAACGTGACTAATTTGACGTAACTAGAAATTCCAAAAATTGTTGTCGTTCTACGAGCATAAAATGCGACAGACTGAGCTGATTTACACTAGACAGAAATATTGTATTGTATGAAAACCAGAAGTATACTAAGACAGACAGATAACTGCCCACTGATTCCGCCTGATCCAGGGGCCTCACTGACTGCACGGAGACTTTACTGCGCTTTTCACAATCATGCGAACTCTAAAGTTCAAAAGCCACCTTCACAATTGTGTTTATCGCTGCCGTCAATCATAATTACGATCACAAGCAACGAACCTTGAAACAGAGAAACACACAAAACGAATCGAAATCCACAAATCACAAACCATGACCTTTTGAACCAGTGAAGTAAAGTCTTGTTTCCTAAGAGGTCCGTTAAGATGATTGGCAGCAGCGAAAAACGCAATCGTCGGTTGGCTTCTGAACTTCAGAATTCGCATGTTTGTGAAAAGTGCGATCCTAATTTGCGGTCCACAGTCTACAAGAAAACGCACTATTTTTTCCTCAAGATGAAAAATATTCAGTTTTAAGATTTTCCTCATGGTATTTTTCTCTAACTTAAAGGAATAAAATCCTTTGCATTTTGAGACCATGTTGCGTTCACCAGCACGCACTTCAAACAATGTAAATAGATGAAATGATCGATAACATATTTTTTACCTGATACCGATTCGAGTTAAAAATTCGCTCCAGTTCTGTTTGTCTCACCCAAGACGAACTTTTGAGCATGGAACATAACTATGCCGCCTTATAACTCGTCGGAAGTTTTTGTGCCAGCTAAACAATATGGAAACACTATTCACAGTGACTCCTTGGATATTAAAAAGACTGAACGTGACGCACTATTATGCCTTTGTTTACTTCTGATCACATCTTCAAGCGAAGTCTCTCTTTTCAAGCGATTCATCTCAATGCACAATAATTGACCCTTATATTAGTTAAAACCCAATGGTTCATTTATATTAATGCTGTTTTTGCCCCTCACATTGACTGTGTTCGTTCGTATTCAAAACACCTTTACGAAAATAAAGGTCGTATAAGTCATGTGTGTTATGTTTCGAGATAAATGGATTATACGCTTTTTTAAGTTTCCATTTTGCGGTGACTTCAGTTTACATCTCCATAAAATGGTAAAAGAAATATCAAGAAACATCACGAGAGCTGAAAACTTTCAAAGGCATGTTTCTGAAACTCGCTAATGCTGACATCAATATAGCGTGCTTGGGCGAAAACACAGAATTGTGATCACAAGATCATGTACAAATTTAATGATAAAAGCTTAGCAAGATACAAATACAAACAAAAGCAAACCCCCTGAAACCTCGACGTGGGCTACACTTGTATGCTCTACTCAGTCACCAAACCTTGTCAGTAATAGCTCCTATTTTCCTCAAGTCGCTCTCTGTGAAGCTCCCGGATGGGATGTCCCGGTGAAGCTTTAAACTTGTGTGCGAAATTCTCAGAGTCCCTATTTTTGTCCGTGTCTTCTTTATCCTCCGTATCCGAAATTTAGATCTCCAAAGTGGCGTGTGTTGCATTAAATAGAAGGAAATATTTAAAGGAAAAGCCAGTCTTCTAACATGGCAAAGTTGTCACGTCCTTCGCTCTTGGACGTGCGTAGTGCCATTCATCGGCAACTGAGTTGTTCGCTTCACTGACTACGAAGGGTTACAATTAAGTCTTCAGCCATAGTGTCGTCAACTGGTGAAATACCTTGCTCATAAATTGTGCTTCCTAATTGCTCATGTACTACATCGATCGATAATTCTCTCTTTGAGTTCACGAAGCGGCCACGGCGTTGTTCCAAACCTGACGCTCACAGTCATCTTTTTGTGTGAACCTACCGTGAACGGCGTGTCGGTTTGAATGCAACGCGAGCATTTCTCTGAGTTTCCCAGCGCCAACATCATCTAACTGACTTAAACTCGAACAATAAAAAAATTATAGAGTGACTCCCATGATCGAATCGCTTCGAACAACGCAAATAGCCTTCTTCAGGTTCGCAACGCTTTGTGGTTTTTTCAGGGGGAGCGCAGACGAGGTACAAAAAGTATCCGTGCAAGGGTTCGTGCAAGAGAAACTTATATGAAACCATTTGCGAGAACATCGTTTCTCGGTACCAGACCCTCGTGTCTTCCCTCCCCCGGGAGGCCGTTTTTCGCCGCAGACGACCGAAAGCCCATTTTATGACTGGGCGCACAGGCAGCCCAGTAAAAAGAGTGTCAGCTGTGGAGAAACTGTAATCTAATTATGTTGGCCTTTGCGTACGTTCACTTTCGTTTTTACGAACCTTCGGATTCTCATCAAAAACAGTTGCACAAGAAAAAGAGACTGTCAATACTAATTTAGTTTACTTTTTGGTTGTCATGAAAAGGCTCTTCTGGCACAGATTACTACAACAGGTGTTGCGACAACTTAGAAGCAAAACGTTTGTTTGTACTTTCAATTAGCTTTGCACGCAAAGTTTATGTTGTCAGTAAAATTAGAGTTCAAGGTAAGAAAAAATATTTTAGCGGGGCTTAAGTATGATTTTCCCTATTGGCTTGATGGCAATAAGGTGTCTTTATCACTCGGTACACGCGGTTTGGACACAATGAAACCACCCTTTTTCGGAGTAAAGCATCAGTCATGGGAAACTGCAATCTGTCGCAAATACTTGCTTACGGGCGTTCGTGTTCCACCCTTTTGATGCAAATCGTGGGAACTACTTTAAGCTAAAAAAGAAAATCTGTAAAAATGAATGCACTACACTAACCTGAGCCAATAGGAACCACAGCATTGAATAAAACAAAGATTTCCGCTAACATATCAGCGTTTACACGTCTAGGGAGTTTAAGTCCTCTCTTGGTACCTTCATGGTCTGGATAACAACATATTTCGACTTTACGACCCGGCCAGATAGTCGTAAGATCCAGCCTATGCTTGGGACAGATTGTCATGGTCTGCATTTCGTCATTGCTAACAGCACCCAAAAGACCTGCACGGTTTAAAATTAACTCTGTTTCGCTGACCTCGGTGCTTCCTCTACCACGTTTTACGCTGATTTTCAGACTAAGAAGATGAAAGGTAATATCTCTTTTGCAGGCAAGTAACGGCAGAATAACCGTACCAACTCCACGCAAGCCACATGGCGATTCCTCCGATCTGAATGAACAATTCATCTTTTGATCTGTTTTCAACCTATCGTGACGTCCGATCATTAAATTCGTGACAACTCTAGCGTTCGATGGAAACAGGGTGTCTCTATGAAGTAATATAATTAGGATAATTCTGAATTTTCTTGGTATTATTTGATTTAAGTTTGTTTTCTGGCCAACGTCAAAAGCTCAGCATGGCGAGATTCATAGAGGTTTGAAATCGTAGACCCCTGCCTTATGAAAAAACTTTTAAAATTGACGCGCTGTTTTAAAGGCCTCACTGGATCTGGATGGGGTTAAATACAAACGTAAGCAAAACATTACTTTTGCAATATTTAAATAATGTCTAAAAAATAATGCTTCCCTCTGAGATACCTGGCGAATAAAATTCTCACAGGGCCACAGCCTAAACAGGCTAAGCTGCTCTGTTGAATCAGGAAGGCCAAACTTTTTTTCTTAATGCTGGACAGAGATTAAAACAACATCTAAAAGCGCGTTGTTAGTTCCCTCTGAGACACCCGGAGAATAAATTCAAAAGGCTAAGCTGCTCTGTTGAATCAGGAAGGCCAAACTGTTTTACTTAATGCTAGACGGGGATTCAAAAAATATCTGAAAAGCGCGTTTTTAGTTCCCTCTGAGACACCCGGAGAATAAAATTCTCACAGAGCCACAGCCTAAAAAGGCTAAGCTGCTCTGTTGCATCAGGAAGGCCAAACTTTTTTTCTTAAATGCTGGACAGAGATTCAAACAATATCTAAAAGCGAGTTTTTAGTTTCCTCTGAGACACCCGGAGAATAAAATTCTCACAGAGCCACAGCCTAAAAAGGCTAAGCTGCTCTGTTGCATCAGGAAGGCCAAACTTTTTTTCTTAAATGCTGGACAGAGATTCAAACAATATCTAAAAGCGAGTTTTTAGTTCCCTCTGAGACACCCGGAGAATAAAATTCTCACAGAGCCACAGCCTAAAAAGGCTAAGCTGCTCTGTTGCATCAGGAAGGCCAAACTGTTTTACTTAATGCTAGACGGGGATTCAAAAAATATCTGACTGAAAAGCGCGTTTTTAGTTCCCTCTGAGACACCCGGAGAATAAAATTCTCACAGAGCCACAGCCTAAAAAGGCTAAGCTGCTCTGTTGCATCAGGAAGGCCAAACCGTTTTACTTAATGCTAGACGGAGATTCAAACAATATCTGAAAGCGCGTTTTTAGTTCTTTCTGAAACACCCGGAGAATAAAATTCTCACAGAGCCACAGCCTAAAAAAGCTAAGCTGCTCTGTTGAATCAGGAAGGCCAAACTGTTTTACTTAATGCGGGACATGCACTATCATCTTCACGGATCTAATTAGTGCAAAATTAAATAAAGCTGTAATCTGTAAATCAATTTTTGGTTTATGAAATTTTACTCACTTTTACCGACAGTTGATAGCCACTGGCTTTGGCAAAATAAATTTTCCTCTTTTCTTTAAAGGGATTCGATAAAATTGAAAATATCCACTACGATCCACACTTAAAAACTGAACTCTGACTGAATTGAACTGTTTGCGATCAGGCTTAAGAAATAGCGAACTCCATCAACATTCTCCATGAACATTACACTTTCACATCATTAGCAGTTATTGAGAATTTATGAAATGATCGATTGATCAGTGTAGACCTTAAAACGTTTTTGCGCTAAAATGATAATAGGTAGCCATTTGAAGGTGATACAAAGGAACCTAAAATAGACTTACCAAGTTTCGGCCGATGTTTAGAAAATTGAAAAGGGCTGAAGAGCATCACCGTTCGGGCTAAATCCAGTCAGCGACCCTTAATAAAAATCATTTAAGTTTACATAATCAACAACGACGTGAATGCCCGAGTTTCTGACTTGACGGTCATGGGCATCTGCCACCGTCAGGGAATCATACGATATCGCTTCTCGAATGAATCCCTCATTTTAATTCCCCCAATTCAGTAATCCACGACCAAGTACCTTTTCCAGATCTTCTCCTCACGACGAAACGCTTTCTCTGACTTCTCTGGCCGCTTCCTGCTATATTTTCTAGTAGCTGGAAGGAATTTCGTCCTTCTTTGATCGCTTTAAACCCGCTTTCGTCGGCATTTCATCGGCGCAAGTTAAAGGCTCGTGCTAACGTTAAAACGACAACAACATGATCTTTCCTCTTTGAAAAACCAAACCTGGATGGGTTGACTCGAGCGCTAGTACTATCTGTACTATCGACCAAATCATAAATAGCTAAAAATAATCGGCCCTGCTACTTCCAAACATCATCTCTACATAAAAAGCATAAAATTTTGACTTGCCATGAATTATATCCGTCGGTAAAACCATTTGGTCACTGATATTGCGTACGAGATTACCTTTTTTTGGCAAGCGAGGGTCCAAAGACTGAAGATGCTTTTCTCGACGAACGCGCCATTTTCATGCCGGCTTTGAAATTTGCGCGAGATCGCATTGTGATACAAATAGTATCTGTCTTTCGTCTCTGCTCGTTTTCCATCAGTGACGCAAAGTACACAAGTCATGACAGATTAGTGGCTATTAATTGAATCCTAATTAGGTTTTTACAAGGACACCGGAAATTGAAACTTCCTCCCTGTGGTGAATTTCAAAGTCGTATGAATCTCGTCATGCTGAAAATACAGTCCGGCTTTACTGTACTGCGTGACAAATAAATTAAAACTTTCGCGGGAAAAATGGGCTTCGTTTTTTGACGATTTCGCTTGCTTATTAAAAAGATTATCATCAATACGGTGATTTATAATGTTTTTCCTTGTAATTAGGGATATAAAAGTTTTCAATTATCTCTTCTGAAGTCGTAAAAATCTATTTTAAGACATTTACGAACCACAATCGCAGTAAAACGAAACGTGGCGCTACAAAATTTGGCGGGAAATATTAATGCTCGACGCTTATTATTGTACTTTCGCATGCCATTTTCTCCAATTTGCTGCTAGATACCAATTTTAAACAAACTGGATTTTGATAAGAGCACAATAAGCCATCTAGAAATGATTTTACTTTTGAAATAAACTGCCGCATCTCGGTAAAATAGTCAACTGAAAATGACTGAAATTTGGGTGACGCTCATTAACGATTCAGGAGCGATTTTTAGCACCAGGTAAAAAATAGAGTATTTAAGCAAAGGAAGTTTAACATATTCCAGTCGACTAACGAAGCGATAGGTGTTATGGAAAAAATATAAGAACTATTGGGAGTTTGGCCAAGTATGTTTTAACTTCACCCAAAGTTAGCCAAAATTTGTGCTTTTTTAGGTCGCCGGAGGTCCCAAAATCTCGAAATAGTGATATCTCGAAGAAAATCGAACGGCTACTTCTCCAAATGCCATGGTTGTTAATCTTTTCAGGTAGCTTTCATACTGTGAAAACATGAAGGTAAACGGCCGACCTCGATCTTTTGCTATTGCCCGGTTTTTTCTGACAATAACACTTAAATAATAGGAAACAGCAGGTGCATGCAAATGGTGTTGCTTCCGATACACGTTTTATCTCCACTGGTGTGCCTCAAGGATCGATACTAGGACCTTTGCTGTTTATTATTTTCATTAATGACCTTCCAAAGTCCTCCACCTTTTTTTCTACCAGATTATATGCAGACGATACATCTCTAACAGCTTCTGGAAGTGATCTTGACAGTTTATTGCGTGAAATTAACAATCATTTACCAGCTGTCTACGAATGGTTATGCAGTAATAAATTGACCTTAAATTTGACAAAAACTAAGTTTCTTATCTTTATGCCTCGTCAAAAGGAAAGCTACAATCTTTATCCACCACTAACCGTAGCAAATGTTCATCTAGAGAAGTCCTTTTGTGTAAAATATCTTGGTGTGTATATTGATTGTCACCTCACTTGGCATGACCATATTGACTATATATGTGGCAAAATTAACAAAAATATAAATATCATGGTTAAGTTGAGGCATTATGTATCAAAAGCAACACTTATTAGTGTGTATTATTCTCTTACTTATCCTTACCTTACTTATGCTTGTACACTTTGGGGAAATAATTATAACGCTCCATTGTCTCAAATCGTAAAGTTACAAAACAAAGCGGTTCGTGTTGTAAATGATGCTCCTTTAATGGAATCAATAACTCCACACTACACATCCTTAGGCCTTCTGAAATTTCCTGATATTGTTAAACTGAACACATGTATGCTTTTTTATGATTATTTCCACCATGAAAAGTTTCCTAATATGCCTGTTTCATTAGTATCTGAACTACATAATTACAGTACCCGCAGTGCATCGTGCAATAAAGTTGCAATACCTTTATTTCGAACTAATCTTAGGAGATTTTGCCCCAGCATTATTGGAAGTTTCTTTTGGAACGTTATTCCGCAATCCATTAGAGACAAACCATCTAAAAAAATGTTTAAAAAAGCACTTTTACGCTGGTACCTGGTTCAATACTAATGAATCAATATCCCTTTTATAACTTTCTGAGCTATTTGTCATTTTTCCTTTACTTTTTTATTAATAATCTTCAGTCCTTTGTTATACATAACTTTAAGGGGCACAATATTAGTTTATCTAGATGTGCCCCTCTCCTCTCCGTCCAATATACAATGTAATTCAATTTAAGTGTTGTAGTTTCTATTTTACGCGTTTTTTTCCTTTGTAAATCTTTATCTGTTACTATATTATTTTTCTCAGTTATATTTACATAACTATGTATCAGCTAGTTATTGCAGGAATAAATACATAAATTAAAATGATAAAATAAGTTTGAACGTGTCAGTGGGGTGGTTGAAGACAAGCACGATACCCCACAAGATTTTCCTGGCGCTTTGCCTGGCTCTGTGTAACTAACCTAGACGCCTGATGCAGAACGAATTTGTTGCCTACCAAAAAGGTTACCCATTGAATAACGGGAGAAAGTTAAAAAAGAACTTGACAGGCTAGTTGAAACAGGAGTCCCTGCCCAAGCAGATGAACCCACTGACTGAGTAAATCAGATGGAAGTTGCCATCAAAAGGGATGTAAGTCTACGGATCTGTGTAGATCCACGGTCCCTAAACATAGCGTTAAAGCGGGAACACTAACAGCTTCCAGTGCTTGAAAAAAATCCTTCTAGACCTTGCTAGATATAGAGCAAAAGTCTTCAGAAAAGTCGACCTCAGCCATTGTCACTGGCACTGCATCTTGCAAGAAGATTCTAGTCTACCCTCACCTTTCCTACCCCATTTGGACGATACAGGTGGGTACGCCTTCCCTTTGGACTCTTTGTGAATTCGGAGATCTTACAAAAACGACTTCTTCAGGCACTGGAAGGACTTGTAGGGGTAGCCTGCAGAGATGATGACATTTTAATCTATGGAGTTGGGGACGCTTTTGATGAGGTCACTAGATAACATGGCAAGACCCTTACGTCACTGTTGAAACGTTGCAAACAAAAGTCCACTCGGCTCAACTAGGAGAAACTGGACTTCATGGGGCATCAGCTGACTGCACAGGGTTTGAAACCCGACCCCAGTAAAGTAGAAGCTATTCTCAAGCTAGAAAGTTCAAAGACCAATGTAGACATTGAAAGACTCAATAGGACTGTAAACTACCCGGAAAATTCCTGCCAAAGCTTTCTCAGGTCATGAAGCCACTCCGAAGATTTACTCATAAAGGCGCTGAACGGTGCTGTTAAGACAAAGGCAGTCTAATTTAGGTTTATTACCGAAGGAGGGTGGAGAGAGGGGGGTCTCATTTATTGACTCTAAATTTTTCCAACTTCAAAATCTCATATCTCATCCAGTATTTGTCATATGTACATAATGTTTTCGGTTTTCAACTTCTCTTGACGTGCTCTATCTTAAACAGTAGAAGATTTGAAACAATTCCAGACGTTAATTTTAAGAAAAATATGACGTCATATAGTGACAAGTTCTACAAACAAGTCTTTCAGAATGATTGGCATGTTGCCTTATATTAACCTACCAAGTTTTGCAAGAAGATGATCAACATCAACAAAGTTATTTTAAATCTCACCAAAAACCCAAATTTAGACGAAACATTTGGGGTGTGGTTTGGCCCTTACGTTGTAGGTTCTGCGAGCACATTTCACGATAGAACCTCAATGGGAATGTGTTTCCCTGTGCACCGGTGTCCAGCTTGAGGATGTTCTTATGAGTGTCCTGTTGCATGCTTAAATTATCGGATACAAATGCTTCATTGCCAAGATGATCGGTCTCCGCACCTGAGCGGCTTGAGGCTCGGCTTCTGGCTTGTCCTACAGACTGAAATCGTTGTCTTTAGGCTTTTGATTCGCAGGCGTCTGCAAAATGGTTTGACTTCTTAAGGGACAGACCTACTTGATCACCTGCTGGGCAGTTAGAAGCTGAACTACGAGCGCGGCCGCATACCCATACGACCTGAATTAGGTGGTAGGGGCTGTTTCAGGTAGATTCTTTCAAGGGGCTTGCGGTCAGTTTAGACGGTAGAGCTTTGGCCGTACAGGTAGGTGAGGAACTCCTCGCAGCCGAGAGCTGTCAGTGTTCTTAGGTTTGGAATAGCAGGGCCCAAGTAATTTGCTATCCCCTAGGAAGGTTTGCAATCATTTTAGCATTGCGTGCATGTTGCGGTCGTGCTCCTCGTTGATCTTCCCGAAAAGTACAATTTCATCTGCAATTCCTACGACGCCTTTACATCCTTCAAATGTCTGGTCCATCTTAGTCTGGAAGACGTTTTGAGCTATTTTGAGGCTAAAGGGCACGCGCCTGAATCTGTATCTCCCAAATGTAGTGAGTTTAACAGACTCTTTGCCCAGGACCACGTTCCGGTATATGCATTTTGCCTCCCCTATGGAAAATACTTTAGCATCCTTCAGATTTAGTAGGATCTCTTCTGGGGTGAGAACGACATGATGTTCAATCTGAATACAACTGTTGCTCCATTGAGGCTTTCGGCATTCCGGCGGAGCGTCAATTTTTCGTGTTGCTTGCGGCGGTAAACAAGGCTGTTGAACCGTTATGTCGCTTCACTGACAACTTCACTTTCCAACTCGTTTTGCAGCATAATGTTGCTCAATAACTAGCACTTTTTTGTTGACCATTTAAGGGACAGCCTCTTTTCCATGACCTTTCAAGCAAAGTGAACGGTAGTTTTTTGTTTTTAAAAACGTTTTACTAAACACAGCAGAAAAAAACTCTAATGAGGCTTCTTTACCCACACGACCTGTAGTAGGAGGTGGGCGCTGTATGCTGGACAAGGCATCGTTATGTCCCCAACTCGCAGGTGCCAAAAGAGGTTTTGAGATCATTCGAAATCAGTCATATAAAAGAATAATGAGATATTGTTTCATTCACTTACAGTGTTTGCAAGGAAAGGAGATTTGACGTGATTTCTCGCCATAACCTCAACTCTTTGTTCTATTCCGATGACACTCAATTATATATAGCTATCGATCCTGCAAATCAGGCCCCGGCCCTGACTACCCTCCAAACCTGCATAGAAGACGGAATGCGATGGAATACCCAAAATACGCTAAGAAGTAATGCTGAAAAGACAGAGGTTATTTTATTCACATCCCGATTTACCAAGACACCTAACATTGAGAAGCTCTTTTTTGACAGTACCGTCATTGAACTAACTGAAAAAGTCCGTGATCTTGGTGTTATTTTACATAAAAATCTAACAGCGACATACCACATTAATGAGACATACAGAAAAGCGACCAATGCCATCAGGTCCATAGGGCGCATTCGTAAATACCTCACTAACAAAAACCTCAAACTGTTAGTCAATGCTCTTGTAATATCACGACTGGACTACTGTAACAGTATCCTTTATGGTCTTCCAAAACGGGAACTGGACAAACTTCAAAGAGTTCAAAACACTGCAGCTCGTATTATTACTGGAACTAAACAATACGATCACATTAAACCTGCTTTTCAGAAACTACACTGTCTGCCAGTTGAATCACGTATAATATTCAAAGTTATTCGTATTACTTTCTAGATTCTTCATGGACTTTCTCCGGCCTATTTGTCAGAATATACAAGAATATCATCCACCTCGTAGTCTACGTTCATCCTCCAAATCACTTCTTACTGTCCCCACTACGAATTCTTTGACATACGGTGAACGTGCTTTTTCCTTCTGTGCACCTACAGTATAGAATACTCTTCCCGATTCTCTTAAAAATGCAGCCTCCCCTTCGTCCTTCAAATGTGCCCTAAAAACATTCCTATTTCGGAAATTTTATTTTTAGTAACGAGAAACATTATATAGGTTTTTATTTTATTTAAATTTATTCTATATCAGTGTAGGCATCATCATTTTTCAATTTTATAATCGACTGCTATTATCATCATTATATTTCATTTTATTATGACATGTAAGCGCAATGAGGTTCCTAAATGCGCCTATAAAAACCTTACTATCATTATTATTATTGAAAATATCCCTGACGGGAGCACCTTGATATCGTTGTTTTTCAAATCTCTGTAGGTAAATAAATAAAGTTACTCTGGATTAGAAAAACGGAAATCGTGGAATGTTTTTTCCTCGTCTTTATAGACTATCAACTATGAAGGAATAAATTTTGCAACTCAGTAGTCAGTTAATTTGGATAATTTACTGTAACCGTTGTGGTCTCGTCCTGTATCGTGCAGTGTAAGGTCATCGCTTTCCCTATTGCGCCACGACACCAAGTGTTAACTGTGTAGGTTAAAGTAATTATCTTCAACGTTTTTGCCCATTAAATTCTGCCGCTAGAGGCTGTTTGAAGCTGGTAGAGCTGTATTTATCGAGAATTCATACATATATTCGAGGAAAATACTTAGGGGATTGACGGTAAAAGCTGTATTTTAACTCATTTCTTCGCATTTGAAAAACATATGGCCAACAAAGCAACATTTAATATTAAAAGTGTCTTGTAAAACCGTCACGAAGTCTCTTTCTGGCGGTGTTGTACAGCTCGCAATTCTCTGCATTTACATCAGCAGAATCGTTTACGATTCAGCAACAGTAAAAATTGTTTCTTTTCACAGAGGATGAATAACCATATTATCCGCCTTTCATCTCTACAGTTTCTTGTTGTCGCCTTCTTCGTTGTTCACGCTGAATTTCAAGCCACCGTTAAGGGTTGCCTGGAAAGCTAAAAATGCCCCTAGACGTGACGTCGACGGAATGACGTCAATTGGAGTTTAGTCGCGACATCGTTGCTAGGCAACTCCGTATGCCAAACCGATGGAAGGAAAGCTTTATGACAAGAGCCAAATCGCACTCCGCTTGCGATCCTCGCGCGACAAAATTATAAACTAGCTTCTCTCGTGGATGTTGTTGTGATTGTTTAGAAGGTGTTTGTTGAATTGGCAGGCGCAGGTGCCATAGGTAAGGCGCTTTCGCTTTTCCAGATACTAAATAAAAGAAAGAATTCACACGTGGACAAGTCAAGGATCATTTGATTTAAGAACATGAACAGT